GCCGCAATCAGCTCCTCTCTCGTCGGGAAAGCGCTCGGATTCTCCGATCTCTCCATGAAATCGTAAATCTCGGTCTCCAGTTCGACTCCACCGAAATCACCCTCCCCCTTCTTAGCTCTAAACCCTAGCGACGACGAGAGTCGGATATCCTTCTTAAGAGAGAAGAAGACGCTATCGGAGCTCTGGCGAGGGGCGGCGGCGGCGACGGCGGAGGAGGAGAAAATGATCGTTGAGAGCGAGGTCATTTTCTTGCATCTCTTTGATATTTATTTTTTTGCTTACGATGTGTTCGATAAAATGAGGACATCGAATCTCAGCGCCTTGGGCGCGAAGGAGACGGGAGTGGTCGCCATTTGAGGATGAAGAAGGGGGAGCGGGTGTGCGTTAGTTAAGAAAGTGAGTGGGGCCCATGCGCTTTTTGAAGGAGGTTAAACTGGGGGCGTCTTTCCCCCATTTATTTGACACGTGACGTACGCCAATCTAGGGACCTTTCCATTAATGATTGATTAATAAATATTTAACCGTGTTAGATCCAGCTTGCATCTCATTAACATATTGGTTTTTTTCCATAAAGGTTGAAGTTTTTCAGTACTAAAAGCACTTTATAAGTAAGTGATTAATTACTTTTTTTTCAAATACTGCTCAATTAATATCCAAAACACGTCTAATAAAAAAAAGGATATCCAAAACACCTTAACTATCATTATTAATTACATATGTCTAACACGTGTTTCCCTACTATACATGTAATTAATAAGAATAGTTTAATTAATAAGAATAGTTTAGCTAATGTTATATGCTGCAAATTAATCAAGTATTAATCTTTGTTGGGAAGCCGACACGTGTCCACCTCATGCTTAATCCGATCATTCCAAAACCTGGCAACTCAAATTATACCTCTGGCTGATTCCGTAAGCCGACAACATGCGTAGCATGCTAAAAAGACGATACTTATAGGCCTACCCACTTGATCGATCCTATAAACACTTGACCTATTGTTCCAAACCGATAACTTGTGTAGCCGACTAGAAAGGCGGTGTGTCCTCGAACCCCCGCCGATAACCAACAACCCTAGCATTAATTGTTTTGACAAAGTCATCATTGCTCTAGCATTTATAGTCTTTATGACTCATCGGATCCAATCAGCTCCAAGCACTAACTATCTTCCCCACAATAAACGATTGAATGACTTATCTTCACCAGCGATCGACACCTGTTGGCTGTCTACCGAGACAGCTGTCTGCCTGGACTCAGCTCAAGTTACCTATCTGCCCTTCTGATCCACTATAAAAGGAAGTCATGTAGCTCAAGGTGACTCTCTGCCTTTTCACACAACTTTAAAATCTTCTTCACCATCTCACATTTTCTCATTCAAGCTCATATACTGACTTGATCGTCGGAGAAACAACCGGATAATCTAACTCTGGCCTCTTACGAGTTCTTCTTGTGCAGGAAAGAACAACGGGTTTTCGGACCAGCCATCAAAAGAAGCTTGAGGACCCTAACCCAACACTAATCCACAAATAAATCTCTTGTTCAATAACTGACATCAACAGCCAATTACGTTATTAATTGAGCATAATTTGACAAAAAGTAATTGATTGAAAACTAGACTGACTTATAACGTTGTTCATGTGTAAAAAAAAACTTTAAGGCAAGTCTTTATCAATTGACTTATTTTAAAGGTGGTTATCGTGAAAACCCCCTAGAATATAACGTATGCTTTTTTAACAAACAAAACATATATTACTACAACAGAAATGCTAGTTATAAAATAAGTTTTATATTATTTTAATATTAGGGGAATCAAGTAAGTTTTTCAAAAATGGAAATACACAGACATTGATAGCAATTCAAGAAGAAAATTTTGCATAATTGGGTTTTCTAATATCAAATAGTATAAGTTGGGTAAGTTGCAAAGAACCCTCTCATTTATTTATTCGGTAGCAATTATAATCTCTCAATTTTCTTAGCACTTTCATTTCGATTGACAAATGTGCCAAAGATAAGTTGCGGATAGCCGCCTTTTTTCTCATAAATCTAGAGATGATAAGTGCTAATAAATTAGTTGATGAGTGATTAGTATTATACATAGTTTATATTATCTGCTTTTTATCTAGTTGATAAGTTTAGTACTGTCAAAAGTTTATATTAGAGGAATTATTATCTGCTATTTACCTAAAATTCATAGTGTAGCTATCATTAATCTAATTGACTAATAATCAAACAAATTGAAAACCAATATGTAAAACTTTCTCCACAGAATCTTATTCTAATCACACGTGAATCATGAATAGATTCCAGGCTTCATGTATGGTGACTTTTCAAGAACCAAATGTAGCTAAAATCCATATAGCCCATCATTATCAAGACAGGCGCTAGGTCTTTGAGCTCCCAACACAAACAAATACATGTCTCCTATAAATTTGGACCTTAATATATGATGACTTTATCAGAATCACACGTGACTAAAATCCACATAATCCGTCATCGTCAAAATAAGGACCAGGCCATTGAGCCTCCCATCACATACAGTGCTGGTAATTACAAGATGCTATGGCCATAAACATCAATCTGATAAAGTAAATTTGAACTCTTCAACTCGTTACGAACATATAAAGATGCATTAATACACAAATATCCAGTACGAGGATTGTTGGCTGACAAATTCACGAAGTTACACAAATGTACAGTGAAGCTTTGAACTGCGTTCAGAAAAGATCGTCGTAGGCAACAATTTCCCTTCCCTTAAAGGGTTCTTCTTCTGATGCTGGAGTTTTATTGTTTGTACTAGTTCCAATAAGCTTCTTATTGCTTCTACCATGTTTGCTAAGGGGAATTTCTGCTCGCAATAGCTTCGAAGGAGCAGTTGTACCAGTTGCTGTTCTCCAAACCGGATGAGGATCAGCAGCTCGGCACACTAGTACCTGTAGTTTTATTTAACTTAGACCAAGATAAACCAAGTACCAACAGAATGCAATCAAATAAAAGAAGTGACTCAAAAGTAAATTGAAGCAAAATGACTGCAACGCTTATATAATATTATCATCCCTACTAATGATAGGCGAGGTCTGAAGTTAGGCTGAAGAGCACTTGGTTTAAAGCAATTAAAAAGGATACAGTGATAGTTAACATAAGAGAGCAATAGCTCTTAATAGGCATCAAGGAAATCCATATTCTAGATGTCCTCTTTTGGCCATGCCTCGTGTTCTTCCTTTTTCTTTCTCTTCTTCATTTTCTCTCTACATCTCTTTCTTTTCTCTCTATTTTCCCTCACTTCTCTTCTTCTTCTTCTAATCTTTGAGGCTCAGAGTTTATAAATGAAATTTTGGCTTATTTTTCATCGCCCTTCATAAATTACCAAAATATCATTTTCATGCCAAAAAACAACTTCTCCCAAGAATTAATTAAAAATACCCATAATTCAAGAAAAATCGCTATGACCAATAATTCAAAACCGATTCGGCTCAATTCTAACTCTAACTAGATGAATCCTATCGGTCTCTACTCCCCGTATTTGCTGGAAGCCCGAAAGTTATCCGATCCGAATATTTGCACATAATATAGAATAAATACTTGTACCAAAAGTCCAGGACTCCAGGGGCTTTACATCATATACCCTTAACATAAGTTTCATCCTCAGAAACTTTACGGCATACACCCCTTAGTTTCACCTTAACTCTCTTTTACCACAACATATAATTGCTTTATTGAACTAGATCCTATATAGACTCCTCTCCTAAAGTTTCCATCTCCATAATTGCACCCTCTTTCTCTAAATTTTATCACTTTCTCATCAACTCCAACAATCTACTATCAATTTCATTCCAGACCTTCTCGCTAGATACTCCTCTTATTTCGTCTACAAAATTAAATAAAAACTTACAAAGATATCATTATAGGATGAGATTCCAGGCTCAACGAGGCTTTGATACCAAACTCTTTACAAACTAACAAGAACTCACACTTCTTTTGATTTTACAGCTCTCTTCTAAAATTTATACCCCATCTATATAGACGTCTTTTGGACTTATTACACAATTTATTTTCTAAAAATAGCAGCGGACGCATTTCAAAAAATAAGAACATCTTGCTTTTGGAAAGTAACATCAACTATCTTTCAAAAAGTAGTGGATGTGGCATCTTCTTTTTGAAAGTGGCAGATGTGTGCTTTTACTTTTAAAGATTCAAGAGTAATAAAGAACAACTATCTTCATCTTTTCTCCTTTCTCCTTATCGTCACTGCTTACGTCATTGAAGTCGAGATAGTTTTTGAGCCCACCTTACTTCTGGTCAGTTTTCGGAGCAGTCCCTTGGTCAAAAGATCTTGTTGGTGAGGTATCCCTTATGCTTATCATAATTTCATATTGATCCGTGGCTCTTAGGCCCATAGTTTCCTCAAAATTTTCAAGGAAATCTTTTCCTTTGAAAGGCAATTTTGGGAGACAAAGAATAATATGATCTCGGACAGTTATTTTCCCATAATAATAAATTAATAATAAAGAGCTTCAAAGAACTCGATTGCTGCCTTTTTTCCTTCAATGTCATTCATATTCTTGTTCATCTAAAGGAATATGATTGAAGAGAGGTTCTCCTGTTAAGGGGTTTAGAATTCATACTTGATATGATAGATAGAATGCAAAACGGTCGCACTCTTCCCATATGGACCATATAGTGAATTCGAAGACTCTAAAATTTTCCTATCGCTACAAACGCCTAATTATAAATTGCAGGAATGAAGGATTTACTACTTCAGAAACTGACTAGAAGCAAGATGGCAAAACTATCTGGACTCTAGTGGCGCGTAAGAAATGACGACAAAGACCACCGGAGAGGATGAAAGATAGCCGTCATTTATCACTCTCGAATCTTTAAAAATAGAAGTCACGCATCTGCCACTTCCAAAAAGAAGATGTCACATTCACTATTTTCTAAAAGATAGATGCTACTACTTTCCAAAAGCAAGATGCCCCTACTTTCCTAAAGGTGTTCGTGCTACTTTTAGAAAATAATTTGTGTAACAAGTCTGGAGGTCTAAAGTCTGAAGAAATCTATATAAAGGGTCTAAAGTCCCGTATGAAGAACATAAGTTTCAGAAGAGAGTTGTAAAATCAAAAGAAATGTGAGCTCTTGCTAGTTCGTTTGTTTGAAAGGAGTTTGGTATTTTGATATGGGTATTTACACCATATGCACATACAAAATTCCAACCCAAAAGATAAGTTTTCTAACCTCTAACCTTCTCCCTAAATCCTACATAGATTAATGTCTCTACGTTATTCCACTTTTATGTTCAAATATTTGATCTAACTATGGAGGAATCTTTACAACAAAGTCACCACCTTTATCGATACATCTTCACAAAATCAAGACAATCATCCTTGTCCCTTGGTCCCCTTCTTTAATCCCCTCCCTCTTGATTCCCAATTCTCAATGTGTTGCCTGGTTTGAGTTAGTAAATGTAATACATCTAAATTTGTATTAGATTGTTGATTTGGATTTGAGTAAACCGTTTATTTTTTTAATGGCGGTTTTGAGAGATTTATTCACCTCCAATATTAACTCTCTCAATCATTAATCATTTTGAGTCGAACCAATCTCAATTAAACCTCCTTAATCCTAATTATAATGGATATTCAATGGGTTTTCTCATTTGGGGCCCTTTTACAATCAATTTTGAGCAAAAATGTGAAAACTCGAAGCTAGAAATCGATAAATCGGGCAGTAAACCGTTGACAATTTCGAAAATTTCTCTTCATTTGGATAGAGTGGAAATTACGTGTACATCAAAATTTGTGATTTTCATGAGTTATAACCCACAGTTTCTGTCAATACTTGTTCATGTAGATCAAACGACAATTAAGTATAGATAAAGTTCAAGATTTTCATGCGCTATAACTAATAATTTTTATAATTTTTGCTTGTTTTCACCAATGAAAATTAAGTATGTACACATCCAAATTTGAATTTTCATGGGGCTATAACCACGATCTTGTCAATTTCCGTTCATTTAAACCAAGTTACAGCTAAGTACGTGTACTTAAAATTTTATAATTTTCATGAGCTATAACCACAATTTTGACAATTTTTTCCATTTCAACCAAATGGAAATAAGGATGTGTACATTAAAATTTGCAATTTTCATGGGCTAACCCACGATTTTTTCAATTTTCATCTCTTTAGACCAAGTGGCAATTACGTATGCGCAATTCAAAAATTCAAGATTTTAATAGGCTATAATCCACGATTTTTTTCAATTTTTATCCTTTTGGACCAGATAGAAATAAAATATACATCAAAATTTGTGACTTTTAGGGGCTAACCCACGATTTTTATCAACCTTCATTTGTTTCAACCAGATGGCAATTTTGCATATATATCAAAATTTGTTAATTCCATCAGCTATAACTCACGATTTTGTAAATTTTCTCATTTAAACTAAATGGCAATAAAGTGTGCATAGTCTAAATTTCATGATTCTCATGGTTATAAACGTTTTGCAATTTTTCTCCGTTTTGCCTAATGGACATTAAGTTTATGTATGTAAAAATTTTTGATTTTCACAGGCTATAGACCAGTGATTTTTGTCAAATTTTAGTCATTCTGACAAAAAATAATTAAACACCAAGAACTAAAAATTCATGGTTTTCATGGGCTTTAACTAACGATTTTTACAATTTTTCTTTGTTTCGACCGAAAATAAATTATGTATGTATACATCAAAATTTCTAATTTTCACGGGCTATAACCCATGATTTTTTTTTTTTTTTCTAATCATTTCAACCAAAACGTAATCAAGTACTCTTAGTTAAACGTTCAAGGATTTTCATAAGCTATGATTTTCATGGGCTATAACCCACTATTTTTGTAATATTTTTTAGTTGTAACCGAATGGAAATAAAGTATATGTATATCAAAATTTTCAATTTTATGAACTATAAACCATGAGTTATGTCAATTTTTGTTCGGTTCAACCAAATGACTTTCATGGCTACAATTCATGATTTTCATGGATTTTCATGAGCTATAACTCATGATTTTGTAAATTTTCATGGGCTAATACTCATCATTTTATAAATTTTCATAGGCTATAACTCATCATTTTGTATCAATGAAAAAGAAATTAAGCATGTATATAAGCGATTTTCATAGGCTATAACTCAAGACCTTGTAAATTTTCATTGATTTAGATCAATTGATAGTAAAGAACACATATTCTACATGATTTCCATGGTTATTACTTATTACACATGATTTTCCTAATAAAAATTAAGTACGTGTCTAGAAAAAATTGTGATTTCATGGGTTGCAACCCATGAATTTTGTTATTTTTGTCATTTTGACCAAAAGGCAATTAACTACTTGTAGTTAAAAAATTCATGATTTTCACGGGCTATAACTTAATTTTTTTTTCAATTTTCCTTTGTTCGGATCAATCGTATGTTAAGTATGTTTCACAAACTATTACCCACGAATTTATCTATTATTATTCATTTCGACCAAAACGCAATTGAACACCCTCAGTTAAAAGTTTATTGTTTTCACGAACTATAATCCATAATTTTTGAAATTTTTCTTTGTTATGACTAAGGGGGTGTTTGGTTACATTTCTATAAATTATAGGAAATGTTTTCCATCTAAAACATGATTTCCTTGTATTTCTTAAAAAAATTATAGGAAAAGTTTTGAGAAGTTAAAAAGTACAAATTTCTTATTTTTTATATTTTGCTTGTTTGGTTCAAAACAAAAAAATGACTCATAACTTTATAGAAAATATCAACATTTTCTATAATTTGTAGAAGTTGAACCAAACACCCCCGTTAACTTTAAAGAGAAATGAGAACTTTATAGAAAAGTGTCAATGGTTTTATTATTTAAATAACGAATGCGTCAGATTTCCAACTGATTTCCGCCCATTTTAGAAGGAAAT